GCGGTGCAGGTGGTGCAGGCGGTGCAGGCGGTTCATCTCGAGTCGGATGCTTTCCTAGTTTGTCTCAACCACGCTCTGAGCACAGAGAAGGAGGAGGTGATGGGACTGTGTATAGGGGAGGTGAGTAGGTCAGTGAGTTAGCCTGGCCGGAACCCTGATGAGCAATCCCAGCGTGTCCTTGGGGTCTGTGGTAGCAGCCAGGGCTGCGGAGACCACAGGCACCGGTGACTTAGATCCTTGGACAGATTCTTTGGATCGTCCTGTCGCGGGCGTCCGGTATCCTCGGGTTGCTTGACACTTGTTTAGCCTCCCGTCACCCCCCAGCGTTCCGCATAAACCTGGGTGGGCGGCAGGGCTTTTTTCTCTAGGAGGGCTTTTTTCTCTGGCCTATTATGTAAATCTGGAGTTAACACCCTATTGACTAAAACCGCAAGTCAGGACAGAAAGACAATATAGCACAATAGGACATCAGTGTATTACGAAGTTATTGACCACTATTAGGGCCCCTCATCTCGCTTGCAGTCTTCCCTCTAGTATGCATTTTATTTGTATCAAAGAACGCAAGAGAGGAGAGGGTTTCAAAGACACATAAGTTTCCTCAGCGTTAAAGTGTTGCAGAGGAGCGCAAGAGGATGAGGAAATAGAGCTTAGTTGCTTACAATCTGAAGTAAAAATTCTCCAGCTTTTCATGCCCATGTACAGGACCACATGACCTAATTTTCACATGATCTGCATCCATGTACATCAGATAAGCGTGATGTGATCAATAATGTTTTCTCCTCTTTTCCCACTCTAGTTGAATGATGACACAAGGTAAGACAATATTTTTTTATTCATATCTTTTGGTCTATATGTCATTCTTAACTCAGAATTATGACAAGCTTGGCAACATTGTGTATAGATTGTGTTTTAAATTACCATTATCAGTCTGGAGCTCCCTCAGTGATACACTTTGAATAACGTCCCAACACTGAAGATTGGCTTGCACCTTACTTCCTAGTAGGAGGATTTTCAGTTGAGATACGTATGACCTCATGTAAAAAGTGTGGTTGAGGGAAACAAGATCATGAGTCAACCTGTGAAACCTCTTACAGATAGAATTTTGTTGACTGATATAGTGCTATTATTTTCCATTTTTTGGCTTGATATGTTTTATGCTCTCTCTCCCCTAAACTGACAATGAGATATTAGTAATTTTCTTTGTGGCAGATAATGTGCATATTGAGAGACATTTCCCCCTATTGACCCATTCCTCCATCTAAATTGGCTCTTCCATCTCCATGGCTTTCTGCGTCCTCGTGGTGAGCCCTACAGTGATCTCAGAGATCCCCAGTAGCTTGGATGCTTGAGGTAGTAAATGTTTCGGGCTATTTTAACTTAAACTTCAAAGCATAGCAGAATGTGTACTCTTAAGCCCACCTCTTTAATACAGAGGATTATAGGAATTTAGCTTTGCCCATGAAAACTTTATGCACTCAGCCACATATACATGTGCGCCAGACTGCTTCTAACAGATGTATGAGCACAGCTTTAGCTTCAGTTTACTTTCCCTCTTCTTTTGTCTCTGCTAAGGTTTTATTGTTCCCCTTTTTGTAATTTATCCTTAAAAGGAGTGACTCCAAATTTACATATACTGGAACTGAAATGCGCACAGTTGCTGAAAAGGTATGTTTGCTTGAATTTTGCATGATGGAAAATTGCAGTTGTGGGAGGATTTCTGTGCTCTGTTTTGTGAACTCAGCCAGGGGTTAATCCCTTTTGTATGGGGCCACATTTGTGGCTGGGTGGTGTGTTCTTTCTAGTAAAATCTACTCACTAGGAATGGGACCTAATTTTCTATTCTTTGTAGCAAATTATTGTTACTTGATCGAGATGAGGAATCACTGGCAGCTCTCCTCCTTGCTGACATCTCTTTGTTTTCTGGCTAGTTCCTGTCACTGTTATCTTTTTATCCTGAGTCTCAATGTCTACTCAGGTAACCCCTGTCTCCTTACAGGCAAACTATCTAAAGCTCATAGTTCTTAGTCTACCTTGACTTTCTCTTTTTTGATATGTTCTAGCCATCTGGTCTAGTATAATGCTTCTCAACCTAATCATTGTATAAACAGTTAATTTTTCCCCCATTATGGTGCAGACCAATGTTTTTGTAAAAGACAATAAAAATAAACTATGTCCTCTCCTCCTGCCAAGCAGATGATGGAGGTGATAAAAGCTATAGGGCAACAACTCCATCTACTTACTATCCCAGTATACAAACTTCATCATGTTAACCACCTTGTCACCTTTCTTACCATATAAAGGAAAGAAGTTCACTTCCTATCCAGAGCTGCAGCTTCTTCAAAGACCTTGCTTATAAAATATCCTATCTTTCTTTCTGCATCTTCAACCTTTTCCTGTAATCTGGCTCTTTTCCCTTAGGATACAGATGTGCTTAAATTACTCTCATTTTCAGAAAGGAAAGGAAAATAACTTCTCAAACCTGTATCTTCCTGTAGTCACTCCTCTTACATCCTTCCTTTAATAGCCAGACCTTATTTACCTTCTCCTCTCATACCCACCAAAGTCTGGTTTCCAGTTGTGGCTCTCCAGCTACCTCCTCATTGCTACATCGGTGGATTATTTCTTGGTGCTTATTTTAATCTTTCAATTTGGAACTCAGAACTCTCATGAGGTTTTTTTGTATTGTTTTTGCCATATCTCCTTATTCTGCCCCCGTCCCCTATCCTTTTTGGACTCTTCCTCCCCTGCCTATGCATTAAATATTCTCCAAGTTTCTGCATTGGCCTCCAACTCTTTCCAGAATGTTTTCTTATGCAATATTACCTCTCCTGTGGCTCTAGCTGCAACACACATTGAAGTTAGATCTATCTTCAGATCCTTTCTCTGATACTGTGTGACCTTGGGCATGTTACTTAACATGTGAGAGCTTCCAATTCTTTATCTGTAAAACGGGGATAATGACAGTCACCAACCTCATAGAGTTGTTGGGAGAGTTGGATTTGAGTAATGTATGTAAAACACTCATCTGTAAAATGGGTATAACAATAGTACTAACCTCACTGGGTCCTTGGGAGAGTTAATTTAATACACGAAAAGCACTTTTACAAGTATCTGACACATGGCAGGTAGCCAATAAATATTCGCCATTCTGACTGTTGGTAATACCCAGTAGATGCTAGTTAGTATAAATTATTCCAAGCTCTAGAATGTCATACTCAGCTGCCTAGTGGACATCTAAATTTAGTTAGACAGCATCTGAACCTTTCCTCTTCCTCAAACCCTCCAACATTCCTTGTGCCACAGCAGTTCCCAAGCCTGCCTGCAACACCTTGGAATCACCCAGTAATCTTCACAAAATCTCAGTGCTGACTCAGTCTGGGGTGAGGCCTGGGTGGCAGAAGTTTGGAAAACTATCCAGGTGATTCTTATGTGGTCTGGGAACCACTGCCTGCCATTGAGAACCATTAACCTAAATTGCTTTCATATTTGTTTCTAATGCTTCATCCTAACTACTCCTACCTTATTTGAGGTCCTCATCGCTTCTTTCCTCGACTACTGTGCTGGCCTCTCCACTGGTCTCCTTACCTTGAGTCTCTCTCACCTGTAGTCCTTTCTTACTGCTTAGGATGTGATCTTTTGAGAAGATTAGTCTGATATATCTCTGCTTAAAATCCAGTGGATTTCCCATTACCTTAGGATGAAGTCTCATTAGTGAAGCATTCAGGGCCCTTCATGATCTCATTTCTGTTTATCTCCTTGCATTGTTTACATGGATCCAAGTTCCAACCATGGTAAATTATGTCAGTTTCCAGATTATGTCAGTTTCCAGATGCTGTGCTCTTTCACTCCCTATTTCTGCTGGGTGTCATGAATGGACTGCTTTTCTCTTCTCTGCTTGGTTAACAATTTATCCCTGGCAGTTCAGCCCTGGTGCCACTTGCCTCCTTTAAGTAACCTGCCCTGACCTGTAGGCTAGATTAGATAGCCTCCTCTGTGCCACCCTAGCTCCTTGAGCGTATCTTTTACAGTGCTTATATTTTGTCATGGAGTTGCTTACCTGTCTCTTCCTGGATATCACTACTGTATCCTGTTTATAACTGTATACTTAGGCCATCATGTAGTGCCTCCCATATAGTAGTATGTACTCAATAAATACATATTGTACATCCCCTACAATAGGAAATTATTGATACCTGCCTGTTACCCATGGAAAGCCAAGCCAAAGGGTGCAAACTTTCTGGAAAAAGCTGGATGGTAAATGTTTTTAGTTTTGTGGGCCATGCAGTCTCTTTTGCAGTTACTCAGCTCTGCCATTGTAGTACAAGAGCAGCTGCAATACATAAACAAACGAACATGGCCAGATTTGGCCCCAAGGAGCCCAGGCAGGCCATAGTTTGCTGATCCTTGATCTATATACAAAGACACAGGAGCAAAAGGAACTGGGTTTTAGTACCTTAATTCCAAGACTGAAAAGGTGTAGGGGCAGATCTAGCCAAGCTGTAATATCTTACTTCTTATGTGACTATGACCATACCAGTATTCCTCAGGCCCTTCAGCTACCTGTGGCTTTCAGGGACATCTGTCAGTCCTTTGTGGCCTTTATTTATGCATGTTTTATTTTGTTTTTCATCTTTTCCTGGGCTGGTCTCGCCATTCTATCCTGAATTTCTTTTGCTCACTCCTCTTAGGCACTGAAACCTCTGACTAGAGTGAGAAAATATTCATCCTTGGCATCAACTCCTACTAAAATACATTTCCAATCTTAATGACATAATTTTATTTTTCAGGAGTTTATTTCCTTATCTTAAATTCTATGTCAGTTTGTACCATCCAAATAGATACTAAACTTCATGAGTTCAGGGACCTTTTTAGCTAGTGTTGGCATGGCATGGTATATCTTTTTCCATTCTTTTATTTTTAGCCTTTCTGTGTACTAATATTTAAAGTGTGTCTCTTATTAGCAACATATAGTTTTGATAATCTAGTCTGATAACCTTTTTAACTGGAGTATTTAGTCCAGTTACATTTATTGTAATTATTGATATATGTAGGTTACTGCTGCCATCTTTTTTGCTTTCTATTTGACCCACTTCTTTGTTTTATGTTTTTCTCTCTGTTCTCGCCTTCTTTGGGATTCATCAGCTATGTTTTATTATTCTACTTTGAACCTCCATTAATTAGTTATAACCTTCTTTTACTTTCCTTTTAGTCATTATCCTACTTATTATAATATACATTCTTGATTTGTTAGTCTAATACAAATGACTATTTTTTACCATTTCTCTGATAATACTAGAATCTAAGAACACTTTAATTTCATTTACACCTTCCACCTTTTGGATTATTGTTGTCATACATTTTAATTCTATGGGCATTTTACACCCTACATGACACTGTTATTACTGTTTTGTACAATTAGTATTCATTTACATTTATGCACATATTATACCCTTCACAGTGTTCTTCATTCCTTCCTTCATATCTGAGATTTTCCTTCTGCCTGAAGAATACTCTTTAGTATTTCTGTGCTGATAATGAATTCTCTCAATTTTTTGCGTATGTAAATGTCTGTATTTTGCCTTCATTTCTGAAGGTTGTATTCCTTGACTATAGAATTATAGATTGGCAGATCTTTTCTTTTTGCACTCTAGCATGTTACCCCATTTTTTTAGGCTTTGATTGTTTCTGTTGAAAAGTTAGCTATTTATTTATTTATTTATTTATTTATTTATTTATTTATTTATTTATTGCTTTCAGAAAGGGGAAGGGAGAAGGAGAGAGAGATAGAAACATCAGTGATGAGAGAGTCATTGATCCGATGCCTCCTGCATGCCCCCTGCTGGGGATGGAGCCCGAAACTGGGGCATGTGTCCTGACTGGGAATCGAACCACGATCTCCTGGATCATAGGTCGAAGCTCAACCGCTGAGTGATGCTGGCTAGGAGAAAAGTCAGCTCTTTTTTTGTTTTCTAATTTTTTAAATTTATTTTAACTTATCATTATTGTTGAAAGTATTGCAGATATTCCTCCTTTCTTCCCCCATTGATCCCCTCCACTGTGCATCCGCCCCACACCCAGGCCTTCACCACGCTATTGTCTGTGTCCATGGGTTATGCATATATGCATATAAGTTCTTTGATTANCCAGGCCTTCACCACACTATTGTCTGTGTCCATGGGTTATGCATATATGCATATAAGTTCTTTGATTAATCTCTCCTTACCCACTACCCCACCCCCACCTTCCCTCTGAGATTCATCAGTCTGTTCCATGCCTCTATGTCTCTGGATCTGTTTTGTTCCTCAGTCTGTTTTGTTTATTAGATTCCACATATGAGTGAGGTCATGTAAAACTGAATCAGGAAGAATCAGAAAACCTGAATAGGCTAATAACAACTGATAAAATTGAAGCAGCAATAAAAAAAAACTCTTGGCAAACAAAAGCCCTGGTCCAGACAGCTTCACAGAGGAGCTTTCTAATTCTTTAAGTTGAAGGGTTAGATAGTTTACTAAAAATTTTTCTTGCTTTTTGAGGTAGGCCTGTGGTGCTATGAACTT